GCGAGCTGTTGGACGCGGAAGGCACAGACCCAAGATGAAGACCTGGATCCTGACCTTCGGCCTCGGCCTCATCGCCACCCTGCAGGCCCAGGAGAACCAGGATGTGAGGCCCCACGGGCAGGGCCTGCGGGGGCAGGCGGGGGAAGGGACTGCCCGAGGGAGGCCCCATCCCTCCCTCCCACCCATGCAGACCCTCATGTTAGGGTCAGGCTTGAACTCTGCCCGAGGGAAACTTCAGACACAGCTGGAGGTGGCTGGTCTAGCAGGCCTGGGGTGCAGAGGGCAGTTGGGAGGTGAACCCACACCTCACATCCCTCAGAGTGAGGGCCGGGGAGCAGGCACCCCAGGGTCTGGCGAGGTCGGGGGCTGCGGGCTTGGCGAGCAGCGGCCCTGGCAGGGTTGCTGAGGCTGACAAAGTGACCTTCTCCAGGCCTCGAGCATCTGGTATCTGAAGGCTGTGGTGGCTGACAAGGGGCTTCCCAAGACAGAGGAGTCTGTGTCTGTGACCCCCATGGCCATCAGGACCCTGGAGGGGGGCAACCTGGAGGTCGAGTTCTCTGTGCTGTGAGTGTGTGGAGTCCCAGGGCCGCTGGTCTCTGGCTTTGCCTTCCCTGCACAGGACAGCGGAGTTGGGGAGGAGACGGGCTGAGGGCCTTCTCAGCCCCTGTGGCCTTGGGGGTCACTGTCCCGCTGGGGGGAGCCCCCGGGGAGAGGAGGGAACCCCAAGCCAACCTCATGGGCCTCCCGGCCCCTACGTGGAACTGCTGTCTGCCACACGGGTTCTCCAGACAGACGGGTGGGGCTGGGGCGTCCTGCAGACCCCACACTGAAACCCTCCTAGGAAAGCCCTGCTGTGCAGACCGGCAGGAAGGGCCTCGCATGGCCAGGCAGTGCAGGGCTGCTGTGACATCCCCGTGGGCCTCCCACCCGTGTGAATTCCACCTGCGTGCTCCCACGTGGCTCCCACCTGGCTGACACATCTGTCTGTGCTCCCATCCTGAGAACCGGGCCTTAGGCAGCCAGTGACCTTGCGGTGACCCTAGAGTTTGCTTTTCCTTTTGGCCTCCAGCCCCCAAGCTGAAGCTGCCCCTCGGTGGTGCGGGTGGCAGTGGACGTGGGCCAGTCCCTGAGGGTCTCCAGAGACAGAGGCCAGCTGATAGGACCCAGTCAGGGAAGCTTAGGGCACTGAGCAGCAGCAGAGATGACATCTATACACACAGAGCTCAGGTTCCCTCTGCAGGGAGCAGGATGTGTGGACGCTGTGGGGCCCTGGGGCTGCCCTGGGGGACACGGAGGACTGAGAGGCAGCAGGGCCGCTCCTCCTGGGGCTTGGCCTGGACCAGGCTACCTGCAAGGCACAAGAGTGGCTGCCTGGAGCAGGGGTGGTGCCCGGCGCCCCTGTGGCCCACCCAACTTCTGTTTTTCAGGGTCAGAGGTCAGTGTCATAACGTAAGCACCATCCTGGAGAAGACCGACCAGCCGGACAAGTTCACAGCCTGTGAGTCCTGAGCTGTGGCCCTCACACACGGGGCAGTGGGGCAGCTGGTGCCTCCCGGTGGCCTTGGGCCTGAGATCCCTTCCCTCCTCTGACCCTATCATATGCCCTCCCTCCCCTCTCACCAGCCAGTTGGCCTTAAAGTCCAAACAGCTGACCACAAATCCCATACTGACCCGGCCACTTCTCCCCACTGGCTGTGGCTGAGCCCCTGGCAGAGGTCAGGAGCACGGCCGGCCTTCGTGGGAAGGGACTGCACTACCCAGCCCCCACCTCAGCAGGCCTCCGTTTGGTACTTGCTGGTTGGGGCCGTGACCGTCTCCTGGGGTGGCGTTGTGGGCTCCATGGCCTGGGGGTCAGGGACCCTCGGGCAGCCGGGTGGGTGCGCAGTCCGGGGGTTTGCTGAGCTGCACGCAAGCCCGTCTCGGATGCTTCCTGAAGGATCGGGCGGTCTGCTCAGGGCCTGTCGCTGTCCTGTGCAGATGGGGGCAAGCACGTGGTGTACATCATCCCCTCCTCCGTGGAGGACCACTACATCCTCTACAGCGAGGCCAAGTGGTCCAGGCACCAGACCCGAATGGCCAAACTCATGGGTGAGTCACGCCTCCCGGCACCTGGCACCTGGCAGCCTCCAGCTGCAGCCTCCCTCCTCCCTCCCCCGCTCCCCAGCCCCTAGGAGAAGCCACTGGCACCCAGGACCTGCGCGGTGTGCTAGCGTGGGGTCTATAAGGGTCTGGGATCACCTTGTCTAGGTCTCCGCCCCGGGAAGGCAGGAAGGAGGAGCTGTTCTAGGTGCAAGGGCACAGGTGTCACCAAGGTCAGCGGACGAGCCAAGGAGCAGTGGGGGGACCCGCGGGGGGAGGCTGCAGTGTCCTCCAGGACAGGGGTGGTCAGGTTTGGGGATAGGAGCTGTGCTGAAAGCTCACCCCCACGCAGACACCCCACACCATTCCTCCCTAAAGACAAGGCCTCGGCATCCCCTGAGCTCGCCCCTAGCCAGGTGTGTGGGTGCTGAGCGCGCTCTTGGGGCGACACCGGTCCTGCGCCCCCTGCTTCCCTGGGGGAGCGCACACTGCTGAGGAGGGCACGCCTGAGTCTCCCGCTCCCTCGCTCACAGCTGGGCCGCCGAGGGTGCCTGGCGGGACCCTCCCAGTGCCTGGTGCTCCTGTCCCCAGGCTCTCCTCCCACCCCAGGCCTCCAGCCCAGCCCCAGAGGGTCGTCCAGGTCCCTCCCCAGTCGAGGCTGCCTGGCCTCCAGCCCAGAGTGCAGGTGCCAGCTCCGCCCAGCTCTGCCCCTAACACTCCTGTCCCGCCCGCCTTGGCCTCACCCGCAGGCAGAGACCCCGAAGTCCAGCAGGAAGCCCTGGAAGATCTTGCGAAGGTGGCAGAAGCCAGAGGCCTCGACGCGGACAGCATCGTCATCCCCAGGCAGAGGGGTGAGAGGGTCACTCCCGTGGGCCCCTGCCCCCACCCTAGGGGTGTCACTGAGGATGCCCTGGGGGAGCAGGCTGCAGCTGGCTCTGGCCTGGTCCTCTCTGGGCCGGTGGGAGGTGCTGGCCCGTGAGGTCCCTGGTCCTGTGGGACTCCGGGGTCTCCTGCATCCTGGCTTTCTTTCCTCAGCAGGAGCCTGCTCTCCAGAAAGCTCCTAGGGTGAGTCTCACGCGACGCCCTGGGGTCGATGGGCCGTCCCTTGTGGCCCAGCTCACCCAGCCCTGCTCCTGCTGGGAGGAGACCCCTCCTGGCCCGGAAGAGGTGGGATCTGTGACTGGGTCATCCTGGGCTACTGCACTGGCCTCAGGTTTCCTCTTGGGATGTCACTCCAAGACAGAGAGGACCCGCCATCCCGCACACTCCTGTGGGTGGGCTGATGGTGGAGTCAGTGTCCCTGGCCCTTGTCCCCAGGGCCCCTTATTCCCGCCTTGTGGGCAGGTAGAAAATCCCTCCCAGACCCCTTGGTCCTCAGTGGTCCTGCTGCCTCTGTTTACCCTGTGAGCTGCTGTAACGCCGTGCTGTACCACGGCTTTGGGACTTCAGGGGCCTGGAGCCTCGAGCTCTTCTGATGTCCAGAGTGGAGGCTCAGAGACCTCCCAAGACACCTGGTCCTCTCTGGGCTGGTGGGAGGTGCTGGCTCATGGAGGTCCCAGGTCCTGTGGAACCAGGTGCAGCAGGGCAGGCTCCAGACAGTCCCGTCTGTCCCCTGCCATTCTGCTGGTGGAAGTCACCTGTGCCCTTACCCTGTGGGTGAGGAGCTCTGTGGACAGCTTGGGGAAGGAGCCCCTGCTCCACTCTGACCCCCCTCAGACAGGGAGCCCCACTGTCAGCCTACAGTTCCCTCTCCTCCTCCCCCTCCTCCTTTTCCTCCTCCTCTTCTCCTTTCCTCCCCTTCCTCCTCCTCTTACTCTTCTCTCCTCCTCCTCTTCCTCCTCCCCCTCCTCCTTCCCCTATTCCCCTCCTCCTCCTCCTCTCCTCTTCCCCTCCTCCT